TAAAAATGTAAAAAAATCAATAAATATTAAACATAATGTTAATAAAAAACATACACTTAAATTTTAAAATAACTGTTTTAAAAAACTTATTATCTAAAATTCAAATACACACACATAACATGTAAAGCGTATTCAAATGAAAATTTAAAAAATAAAAGCAAACATATAAAGCATTTTCAAGCATGTAAAAGTGTAAAACCCACAATCTCTTTTTCTCCTTAATTGCACTGCTTCAAGTAGCTAATGTGATGTAAAACATATTGCATTCTTGATTCTATGAGTCGCCTTTGTACCACACCCCTCGAGGCAAACCTGAACAAATCTATGTTAGGGTCTGAAATTCTTATTTCTCACATAAAAAAATAATGATTTTATAACTTTCATTGCCTTTTAAGAAGATATTTTATTGCAATGAATGAATGAACAACATTAGCAAATAAAATATCTTCTTAAAAGGCAATGAAAGTTATGAAATCATTATTTTTTGTTAGAAATAAGAATTCCAAACCCTAACATAGACTTGTTCGGGCTTGCCTCGAGGGGCATGGTTGGGGGTCCGGGGGCGGAGCCCCCAACCCAGCTGTTAGACGAAAAAAACAACAAAAAGCGCAAAATTTTAAAAAGGTGCACGCCTGGGCTGAGGCGCAAGGCACATCAGACCTTTTGAAAGGGGTGCACCTAGGACCTGGGCGAGGCGCATACCCCAAAATGCGCCTCGCCTGTGCGCCTAAGCACGCCTTTTAAATCACCGAGCCTACCACCCATACAGCCATGGTAGAGAGAATATAGACCACTTTGGTAAGTGCATCAGCTACTTTATTCTCCTTTCCAACCTTGCAAATTTGTATTCTTGGAGGAATGCAACCCATTTGGCATGTCGTTCATTAACCTCTTTTGAGAATTAATGTGCTTCAAAGCCCCATGGTCAAAAAAGAGAACAAATTCGTTGGGAATAAGATAGTGTCGCCAATAATGCAAGGCTCACACTAAGATAGTGTCGCCAATAAGACAATGTCGCCAACGCAGAAATCCTTGTCATAGGTGTTGTCTTTTTGCTTAGCCTCATTAAGTTTCTCGCCAAAGAAAGCCACTGGGTGACCCTCTTGGCTAAGAGTTCTTCCAATCCCAACATGAGAGGCATCACAAGTTACTTCAAAGGCCCTTGAAAAGTCTAGGAGTCAAAGGATTGGTGCTGTTGTCAGTCTCTTTTTGATCTCTTCAAACGCCTTGGTTGTTGCTTTAGACCATAAGAACTAGCCCTTCTTCATGAAATCAGTTATGGGTGCCATTAGTGTGCTGAAACTTTGAATAAAACACCCACAAATGTAGCCAATCCATGAAAAACTTCAAACTTCATGTACTGTGGTAGGTATAGGCCAATCAACTATGGCCTTAATCTTGTCAGGATCAGCCTTCACACCATCAGTTGATACAACAAAGTCAAGAAATACAACACTTCTTCAAGTTAACATAGAGCTTCTCTTCACAGAGAACCCTCATAACTTGAACGTGAGCAAAAAGTGTACCACTATCCTTGCTATATACTAGTATATCATCCAAGTAAACAACAAGGAAATGACCAATAAAGGGCTGGAGTACCTGATTCATAACCTGCATATAAGTGATAGGTGCATTAGAGAGACCAAAGGGCATGACCAACCACTCATATAAGCCATCTTTGGTTTTGAATGCTATCTTCCATTCGTCACTAGGCCGAATTCTAATCTGGTGGTACCCACTCTTAAGATCTATCTTGGAAAAGATTGTTGCAACATCCATCATGTCAAGCATATCAACAAGTCTAGGAAAGGGGAACCTATACTTGATGGTGATCTTATTAATGGCTCGACTATCAACACACATATGCCAAGAGCCATATTTCTTTGGTGTCAAAAGTGCTGGAACTGCACAAGGACTAAGGCTTTCTCAGATGAAACCTTTAGACAGCAACTCTTCAATTTGCCTTTTAAGTTTAGCATGTTCTATTGGATTCTTGCGATATGCAAGCAAGTTGGGAAGTTGAGAACCTGGAACAAAATCAAAAGCATGTTGAATGTTGCGCATTGGTGGCAATTCATTAGGAAGTTCTTCTGGTGCTACATCTGAAAAATCTGACAACTTGTGTACTTCTGTAAGTGCATCCACTAGTAGTACAGGTGATGTTTTCTACACTTCTTTGGCTACTACAGCATGGATGACCCCTGTTCTCTTTGCTCTCTACCTAAAACTCCTTCTTGGTGATCATGTGTAAGGCCTTCTTCGACTAAGCAGCATGCTTGGATATCTTTTCACCATAATTCCTAATTTGTTTTGTTGACATTGGCCTTAAAATAACTTGTTGGTTATTAAACATGATGTAATAGGTGTTTAGCTTTCCACAATGGTATACATCCCGATCATGTAGCCAAAGTCGTCCAAGTAACTTTGTATGGGTGAGGGAGGATGTGGTTCCGTTGGCAACTTCAAGCACTCAACAGTTGATTTAAACACCACATTCATGCAGCTACCACCATCAATAATAAGCTTTTAAGCTTGATTTCCACACCTAACCAATGTTTAAAAAATAGTGGTTTGCCTCCAATCCTCCTCTTTCTTTGGAACATAGTATTTGTCTCACCACATTCACAAGGAAAGCATCTACATCATTATCTTGCAAAGCAGCACTGTCAAAGTTTCCAAAATCATCTTCTTTTGGTGAGCCATACCCATAATCTTGTGGATCATGAGCCTGTGGTTCAGGCCTTCCGTACAGCTGCATTACTCGGGGGCTTGGACTTGGGCCACAAGTTCCCCGCCATTCCTTGGGGCACTAGAAGAAGCCTCTCTAGTGGTACTTGCAGCATTAACTTATGGTCGTTGAGAACCTTGTTGTAACACCTTGACTTGAGCTTCCAATGCATCAACCCTTTCCATGATCATGTAAATGAAATCGCCCCACTGCCTATCAGTCAATCTCCCTCTAAAGTTCTTCCCACTACAAGTTGTCATAGTGTTGGTCCTTGCTCTGATACCAAACTGGTGCAGGATCTTTGTGATTCAGCACTATTCTCGCAACCAACTTAGGTTTAGATGTGCAGCCCAAACATGAAAACAACAGAGAAAGAAGAGAAGAGATGGAAATAAGATGAAAACCTTAGGCAATCACACACCCAACTTGGAAATCACACCAAATTTTGTAGAGAAACTTTCCTTGTTCATCAACAAAAACTGTTCCCCAAGTCCCACCTAAGTGATCAGTGGTTACATCATCCTCGATGAGACCATGTAGGACTTCACTGTGAACTTTCCATGTCTGCACTCCTTCCACCACAGTCCATCTTCAATGGTTGTAGAGATATTGCATTGTTCTAACTTGTACAGCAAAAAGATGCATTCCTCCACCTCTTGTCTTGATCAATAAGTGGACTTCTGAATCTAGGGCTCCAGACCACCTTATCACCTCTAACTTCATAGAAATGCGCTACTGAGACCTGATGATCAGCCAGCCTATACAATCTTGGGCAAATTTCACACAACTTCCCTACCCCACTCCAAACATCCTCCCAAAACTTCATTCTAGAACCAGCATCCACTTTAAAACTTACCAAAAGATTATTCTAGAACCATCTTCAAATTATTCACCCTTCTATGATCTTCCCCTTCACAAAAGATTATGCTGTCATCCACAAACTGAAGATGTGTGACTGAAACATTATTTCTACCCACAATCCAGCCCCTAATTTCCTCGCTCCTATTGGCTCTAGAAATCAATCTGCTAAAAACATCAGCAACTAAGGTAAAGAAGAAAGGTGATAGCAAGGTTCTAGCACGGTATTTAAAATGTTAGGGGGAAGGAAACTCTACTCTCAATGCTAAAAACCAGCTTCATGCCCCACCAAAATACCTATTTTTCACTGTAATAATCTATATCTATATGTTAAGACAAAGAAGTTCACATTGGCACTTATCTATTTTGTGGTTTTCTTTTTAAAATTTTTCATTTTTTAAAATGAACAAAGTCATTAAACCTTCAGTGCCATACATTAGCATCTATAAACGTGCTTTGTAACATCTCTTCAATTTCAAACAATATGAGAGACTGTCCTTGATAAAACTCATCTTTTATTTCTTTCTTATCCTGCAAGCTTGTACTCGTATAGAAATAATAAATGGTGACCTCAAACATCTAGAATCTACAACTCATTTTGAAACTGAAACCCACACTTTGCTTGCAATGCCAACACATCTAGTTTCTTCGCAGCAGCAGACTACCCATCACATTGTTGCTGATCAACAAAAAAACAGACTACCCATCACTTTTAAAATTATTGTTATTAATTTAAATTCCATTAAAAATTAATAGGTACTAATAAAAGTTAATAAAATGAAAAAATTAATTCTATTTATTTGGTGTAATTGTAAAATTCTAGGCTGTCAAGCATGAGAATGTAGCTTCAAGTACAAGAGCGGCCACTTTGTGCAAAAGAATACCAAATATTAAGACCATATCTAGCCCACCCCTCCAAAGACCCTAATAGTTGGGACCAGCATTAGGTAATAGCCTTTTTATTAATAAAATAATGATTAGTAGAAAATTATTATAAGTTGAAATTAATGAAGAATAGAGCATACAAAATTGGCCACTCTTGCAGGGGGTAGCTTGGATTGCGATTAGACGAACTAAACATAATCCAAAAAAAAATGCTTGACTTGGAATTGTATTGGTCTCAATTGGAAATGTCACGGGGCCCCTACTAAAATTTCATTTGACAAAGCTCGTACATTGCACAGGTCCCGAATATAATAAAAAGAAGCTTAAAAACAGGAAAAATCAGTCAGATATTCAAAATAAACCAGATACTTTAAATAGTAAAAGTATTACAACCTGTATCATTCATGTAAGACAGCATAAGCAGTACCATCATTGCAACTACAATATTGATCACTCTACTCATAAAGTTCAATAGCACTTTAAATTTCCTCCTGATGAAACTTCCATGACAGGTTCAGGCAAGAAATACCTTATTTTGCCCATATACCCAGCTAGACGGAGACCAATGGAACGAGATCTTCTGCTTTTAAGGAACAGAAGCGCATAAACACCCTAAGAGAAAGGAGAGATACTAATTTAGAAAAAAAAAATTAAAAAACAACCAATAAATGAAGAACACAATAAGTATGTAGATAAGATTTTAACTAAACAAATATGTTTGCATATGAGAACTTTGTTAGTCTCCCATTTCTTGATAGGAGTACCACTCTCCTATTTATATATGTAGCATAAACATTTTCTCTTTGTCTTTTGTTTTGACTAATACAAATACAAGAGAGAGTGGTAGTATGACCTACCTCTCCCCCATTCATGCAATTCTTGCCTCTCCTTTTCTATCTTCTCCTTGTGCCTTCTGTTTTAATCTTCAACCAAGTATTACAAGTTGGTACGAGAACAATCTTCATCTATTCCTGTGATCATTCAATGCTGATATAGAGACTCATTATGACCAACTGACATCAGCAGGTGTAAAGCAGGCTACAACCAAGTATGACAAGTTGCCCTATCTTGTCTGTGTAAGAGTTCAAAAAGGGAGAATAATGCTGTTTCTGGCCACTGTTATAGTTCTTTCCTAATTTGAAGCATATCGACTTCTAAAACTAAGCTATGGGGTCTATTTTAGCTTTTGGAAGTATGAATAACAGTACTAATATCCAGAATGCTACCATAAAGCTAGACAAGAACAATTTTATGAAGTAGGCTCAGACTGCTAAGTTGTCCATTGGTGGAAAGAGGACGTACGGCTATCTGACAGGAAAAAGAAAAGCAGCCAGCAACTGAGGAAACCTCCTATGCTGCAGGAACAAGAAAACCTCATGCTAATGCGATGGTTGGTTTGTTCAATACAGCCCTAAATAGCTAGGAAACATATGCTCCTTTCACAAATACGGAAATCTGGACTCACAGAGACTTGATTCCAGGACCTATCAACCAAGGAGAGAAACATCTAACTTATGCCAGGAGGAGAAGACAGTGTCATATTACTTACTTTCTTCAACCTCTTAGGGAGGAAATTGGTCACTTAGAGAGGGTTAAGTGGCAGTACACAGAGAACTCATACAAATATAAGATACTTGTGGCAAAGAACAGAGAGTTTGAGTGCTTGGCAGGACTCAATCCTAACTTTGACTTAGCAGAATATACTTAGTAGGGATGTTCTAGATTTGCCTCAGGCCCACTAACTCGTGTTGGAAGAGGAGAAATATAGGTTGGAAATGCAACAGTCCCATGGTTCTAATCACATTGGTATGGCTACTTTAAACCCAAGGCAAGTAAATAGGAAGAATGCCTCTACTTATGAGTTGGATGATGAGATCAAATGCAACTATTGCCATAAGACATGTCACACATGAGACAAGTGTTCCCACCAGCTACCACCTTTAACCTAAAATGGTGACAATTCCTAGGGATGAAATAAAAAAGTTCAGCATACTTCTTACTCCATTTCCATTGCCATTGGCTACATCAGATAGCCAATCCCTTCTTGTCATATTTCCCCATATCCCCATTGGATGCTTGACTCAGGGCAGCAGATCAGATTAGTATATCCTATTTTCATTCTTATTAATCTTTTGGTTGTTTTCGCATGTCATTCTTTTGTTTTGAGATTAGTATAATACAAGCGGGAGTGGTTAACTGACCCATCTCTCTCACATACATGCAACTTTCCTGCTCTCTTATTCTTCTAGTCTCTCATCTTTTTTTCTCTCTTCTCCTTGTGCTTTTTGTCTGAATCTTCAACTAAGTATTAAAAGTGAAAATTCTTCAGTGGTAGCCAGTTTTAGGAGACAATTACCGGATACTGTTGATGTCCAGCCAAAGTTAGTTCATGAGAATTATCAATTGCTTCAATAAATATTTGAAACTCATACACCAAGGACAGGTCCTCCAACAAGATAGGGAACATCAGCACCTGTTATTTGGAAAATAAATCAATACTAAGTGATGTCTGCATGAAATATGTATAGCTAAATTTGGAAAAGAACAAGCAAATAAATGATGGCTGATCAAATTAAAACTTCTCTTTATTCCTTAACCAGTAAAGGAATATATTAAAAATCACCTCAATGACAATTTCACCAAAAGACATAACATAAACTACATACAGAGTAGAGAGATATCATAATATAGACATAACCTCCAGGTGAAAAATATCACCTTTATCTTTTTGTTTTTCTGTTTTTTTCCTTACGTCTTTTTTCTTTTTTTTTTTTGGGGGGGGGGGATCATAGAGAGAGCAAAAGAACACTAGTATGTACAATGTCACTTAAGGTAGATAGATAACAATAATGCTTTTACTGATTGAAATTGTAAGTTAATGTACAACATTTACATCAAAATTCAGCCTTCTTTGATTTACTTCATCATAATTACATACAAATATCTATTGAATTGTATGTAGTATTTCAAGCATAAATTCTACTTCCCCTACATCCCACTCATTAAGGTACCTTGCAGGTTCCACACCACTGGATCATTATGAGCTTCATATCAGTCCAAAATATGTGCCTCTCTGCAACTTGCAATTGACAATAAGCAAGGAAAATTGTACATTTTGTAATATTTGTTTTTATATTGTTTGTGTACCCAAGATCATTCTTGTCCTTTTACATGATAGGATGCCACCCTAATATAAAATAACTAAGTAGGTGCCACCAAACCCATCTTACAACTTTCAAACCTTTTGTATCTCTCTTCTCTGCTCTTCTCTCTTCTTCCTCCTGCACCATTCAATCGAACAAGATGGTATCAAAGCAGGTTCTACATTAGTTCTGTTCAATCTTCCTCCTTTTTTCTTCATTTTAGTTTCCTGGATAGCAATTAGTGTTAGACAGTTATGCCCTTAGCTCCAATCAGATTGATGTAGCTTTTGACATTTATTGCAAATGAATAAAAGTACATAATTGATTCATGTTATATCTGGTGTGTTTTTGTATAATTACCCTTAAACTGGACACTTATGAGACTCGTGTTAGTTTAAAATGTTCAACCGTTAGATAGACCCAGGGAGGATTATCTTGCCAAGGCTGACAGTAATGTGTTGCCAAGAAGGTTGGGGTGGCTTGTCTCAACTACCAGGGTAAGACCCAAAGCACATATGTGTGGATTTACTTGAAACTCTGAACCGGGACCATTTTCCAGTTATGCCCTGGACCTTGGAGACTGGTGGGCAAAACTGGAAAGTTACACCTAACCCCTAGATTCGATTATGGTACTACACTAGGTGTTGGATTGGACTGTCATTGATATGCCAATCAGTGAGATCCTTAGAGGGGGTCAAAACCTAGGTATGTTGGGGCAATCTAAGAATTCACCTGAGTGGGTGATCATAGTGACAAAATCAGCCCATTTGTCGAACAAAGTGAATGATCGGGGACAGCACTCTCTCTGATGGAAACCTAAACTATCGGGCAATGTTTGATCATTATGTGGTTGAGAGCTTAAGTGTAAGACCATTTGGGGTTTTTATACCTAATGGGCTAATCTTGCATCTGCCCACAGTCCTTGGGCCTTCATAACGTGGTTGGACCCAAGGACCATTCAGTGTAAATGTTGGGCCCATTAAAAGCCCATACTGATGGACTCAGGGGTTCACTATATTCTGTAGTGAATTCGGTCAGGCCTTGTAACAAAGGCTGGGATGAACTCATGTGGCTGATGTGAAGATCAATGTTAGGGTCCCACGCCATACAAAGAGAGCCAATTTAAACAGTAATCTTATAGGGAAGAGAGAATGACATCTTAATGGGCCTAAAGCCCATTTTCAAACTGGGCTTAATTGACTTAATTAAAAGGGGCGAATTTGGTTTATAATCTGATCAGGGTCAGTAAGAGGATAAGATATGTCTTATCCACTTAAGAGTCAGATCCAAATACAGATTTGGATCAAGAAAACTCCTTCCTAATTGGATTAGGAAACTGATCCCAGAAGGTTATAAATAAGGGGGGTGAATTCCTTAGTTTACATTCTTTGACTGCTGATTTCTCCCTCTACTCTTGTCACCCCTACCCTGTTCGATCTCCAATTCTTGGAAGTGATCAAGATTGGATCTTGATGTTGTTTCTTGCTGAAGAATTAGGGTTCTTGCTGAAGAATCTCCTTGTTGATCCTGCCTCATCCTACATTGTGTCATCTTCAGTGGAGATGGGTTTTGGTAACCTCTTTGGGCGCGAACACCTACGTTGGGAGCTACTTGCGTGGATTCCATATCAGGTATTCCTCTCCTTAATCTTTGGTTTCAGATCTGGTCTGGTTTGTTTCAAGAAAGACCCTTGAAAAATGCAGTTTTTCTAAAACTGGGAATATGATTCCCAAGACGGAAAAAAGAAATTTTTGAAATTTTGCCCAGCCACCCTGCATGGTTCGGCCATCCATATGATGGATCTCCCTTCCCTTCAACTAGAAGAAGATTGTTTACATCTTAGACTGATTGGACAGTACAGGTATGTTTTCTATTTATTTTTCTGGTCATAAGACCAGGAGGGTTTACCCAAAATCGTTTATATTAAGAACAAAGATGCATAGCACTAGTTGAAAGGGAGATTAAGGGTTGGGGGGTGCACTACTCCCCGTTATATAACCCTATGAAGCCAAAAATGTGCTTAGCATGAGATCAATAGCCAAGTTAAAGAAAAAAAAAAAAAATTTCAAAATTGAACTGATGAAGATAACCAAAGGCTCATATTAAGTGCTTCCTTAGTCCTTACTGCATTTTATTATTGAACCAAAACAATCCATGAAATGAATCAACATTAAACTAATAAAAGAGAGAGAGAGAGAGAGAGAGAGAGAAATCTGATAACCCATGGTAAGGATCAATGGTTTCTTTGAACTTTTAGAAGAAGAAGAAGAAGATTGGTTCACCCCATATACTAGATGGGAAATGCATCTCTTGGGAAGTAAATAAATTTAATCCCATTTCAAGTTTGCAAAATCTATAATTGATACCACAAAACATTGCATGCCTACCACCCTTCTGGTCTACAAGCTACAATGCACAAATCAACATGATGACATCAAAATCAACATCACACAACCCATAAACATCGAGCAAAAGCTTCTTGTGTTTCCTATACATAATATAGGTTGTAGTTCTTTCAGAACTATAAAATCATGAAAAGTGGTTCACAGTATAACTAGCAGTAAACTGATTGACTGTTCTAAACTTGCCTTCAATTAGGAGAACAATTAAAAGGATTTTTAAAACTTCAAAATTAAAGAAAGAATAGTTATTTCAGCTGGAATGGCATTTCGAAAGTGAAGCATTCCCTGCTAATGTTTATTAAGTTGATACCTCCCCCCCCCATTGGCAGGCATTTACTGTCAAGTTATATCCTTTTCTAGAGAGAATAGATTTACATATCATCATCTGTCACAGCAGTTGAGAGAGAGAAACAGAAAGGACATGCAAGGAGACAAATAGTTCAAAAATAAATAAAGAAACAACAATATATCGTGCAGGTCCAGAAAGAAACAATATTAAACGAAAAGAATGAAAAAGAAAAGAAAAACAATGCATACTTCAAACACCACGCTAACAACTTCAGCATTGTGACACTCAGGATCATACTCTCCTCGGGATATCTTGGCATTTATCTCTTTAAGGTGTTGAGTCACCCTTTCTTCATCAAGGCTTCTCAACACATTAAGAAGAGGTCCAACAGAACCTTCTTCATACTCAGAATTGAACATTTCCTGAGCTTGATGATGCTGACAGATGCACTGTGTGCACTGTTGCATTTCACAAGAAATTCTCTTCCATAAAATTTTGAGAGGAGAATCTTCCCGTTTATCCTTAAAGTAATTGTAGAATGTTTCCAGAAGAGGAGCCATCAAGTCCCATGAAGCACACCAGATATGTGCTTCTTTTGGCAAAGATATCAAAAAGTTGAAGGCATCTGAAAACCTGCAGAAGATATCATTGAATCAGAACCACATTAAGCTGTTATGTTTCTTGATATTTTATCCAACCAGTAAGTAAAGAAAGCAAGTACACTTTCCAAAAGAAGATTATGACATTTATTGTCAAAATATAACGTGGTCGAATACATTAGCAACCTTAGAATAAGAGAACAACCAAAAGAGATGCAGATTCAGATTGGAATAGGCAATCATTAAATAAGTCAGTAACCAAAACACAAACAGATTCAGATTTGAATTCATCACAGAGTAGCAATACCTCATAAAAAAATTGTTGACCAAAGAAAAATGTATCATCAAAACAAATAAGGTCACTTAAGGCCACAAAAGACCAAAAACCCTTCTACAAAGCACCATGGCTGAAAACCCACTAGCCCAGGAAAATACGAATGCTCTAAGCGCCAGTTTTAGTAGATAATCTGCAAAAGCATGGCATAAGATACAAAGTAATAATCGAGGAACTTGTAACGTGATGAAATATCCGCATTTTCATCTTAATTGATCAAAAATTTTACCCTCTTACTGCTTTGGAAGGAAAGAACAGAAATCAATTTTGACACTGTATTGCATGAAGAACACCGAACGACTATTAAATGATTTTAGAAACCAAGCATAAACTATCAATTAAAAGAAGAGCAGAATCGTCAAGAAAATAGTAAGAACAGCAGTATTCTTCATCTAAAAAGAAAAGAAGAACTTGGGCAAACCATTCTTCTTTCGCCCGGCGAAGCTGATGCTGCTTCGACGGATCGGATGGAGCATCATCATCTTCCTCTTCGATGTCTCTCCATCTACTCAAGAGCTCTCTTCTGGTAACTATATTCTTCGCCATTGCAAAGAAATTAGGGTTTTTTTCATGCCATGAACGGAACGAACTTCTGTGGTGAATACTGGGGTTTAATTAATGCCAGAGGTTTGGAACTTACAAGAACAATTACCATAAATTCGAGCGAAGCACAAAGATGGTGAAGAAACGGAAAAGGAAGGACAATGCTATTTTTCTTTTTTTATGACGAAAACAAAATAAATTTCCAAATATTTACGAAATTACTAATTTGCCACTCCAACTGAATACGTGCGTAGTGTGACGGTCTGACATAGGCTTAGCCTTGCCTATGCTTGGCACGTTAGGGACATCACCATCATTTTCACCTATAAGATTTTTGGGAGAATTGATGTTATCTTCAGGCAGACCACCAAAAGCTTAACGTACTCTTTGAGGAGGGGTGGTCGACCTCTTTAAGTGCCTAACTTTGGCACTCCTAGACCATCATCCCCTTGCGGGGCAACCCTGGTTAATGGCTAGCATGGCTATCAGGGTTCCTCATGGGCGCACACTTGCTCATGGGGACAGTGTTGGACCGGCACTGCGCTACCGATACTCAAGGGAGGCTTGGCATGCGGGCTTGGCTCAAGAATGACCATTTACCTCGCCAGCCCCTTGCCCAAGCTGATTGAGCTATCCCGTTGCTTCTAGCGCACGGGTGTGTTTCGGTCCAAGCGGTTGCCTATCATCATGGCACACAGGTGCCTATCATCATCGGCATACAGGAGACCCCTCACATCGGTGCCAAGTCACCTCATCGGCGCACAGTCGCCTTGCATTGTGGTTGTCCCCCTTTAGCACATAAGCGGCGCCTCCCATGGATCAGTCTGAGCCAGGAGAGTGCCCCGGCCATTGGTCTTGAGGTCATGATCCAGTGCTACTGACTTTGGTGGAGCCATCTCATCGGGCAACTCCTAGCCTCTAAGCGCATAAAGGCTTGTCCTGGCCTACCTTGGCATGGACGCCGCACGGGTTTCTTCCGTTGTAGAATTATCCCCGTGACAGTAGTGTCTAAATTCCTAATAGCGTATGGCGGGAAAAATTGAGCTGGACAAGGAAGCAAGGGTGCTCACGATTCGATTAACTGAACCAATCTGATTGGTTTGTTTAAAATCTAAACCGAAATCGAAGTGATGTAACTGGTCAACCGATAATAGGTGTGTGGTTCAGTTTTTCAGTTTTTTTTACACTCAAAATTAAGAAAAAAAATACTTGAACAAGTATGGCAGAGGGGCGAGCCGATAAGAACAAAGTGGTGGCCGATGATTTGCCGATGCCGGATTGGTTGGTGGTTGTTGTCGCCTAAAATAAAAGCCTGAAAAGTGGCGGAGCCACAAAGATAAGAAATGAGAAAGACAAAGACATTCAAACAGAGCTTGGGTGGCAGAGTTAAGGTGGCAACTGGCGTCTTGATTGATTACTTGGTAGTTGTAGCTAGGGCTGGCTAAGCTGGCTTGGTGCTTGATGGTTGGCAATCATGGAGACCAAAATCGTTTGGCCGCTCACCCCTCATGGACAGTATGCTTGCAACTCGAATTTTGGACTTTTGAGTGCTTCCAGTCTGAATCTTCTAATGTTGCATGGATTTGTAGTGGGTTGTCTTGGTGGGTGCTATGGAAAAACAAACTTCTTTCCCTTGCTTGAAAGTCTTTCTCTGGATGAGCTATTTTGGTGTCATTCTCATTTGTGAAGAACCGGATGAATAGTTACCAAGCGTGGAGCCAACATGCAAACTATGCCTCGATGACGGTGAATCTATAGGACATCTCTTCTTCAAAAGCCCTACAATGAGGCCCATATAGTTTTCCATGAGGGGATTGAAATTGGATTAAAGCTCTGGAACTTGGTTTGCCCTTATCAATGGATAATTTCATCGTCGAGAGAGATGCTTTACAGATTGTTAATTCCTCAATATCTTGATCAGATCTGATGATGCGCGATCCGGTCACTCCTAGCTGGCGGTTGCGCGGCTCCTATGTAGCACCTGAAATGGAGAGGATGAGGAATTCCCGGGGGACTTGCCTGGCGGGAACACTCCGACGCTTAAGTTAGAACTCTGTGGAAAATGCAAGAAGAGTAAAGGGGGCTAAGAGTGCAGATAGCGCAGGTGTCCCCAGATTACCAGCCCTTTGGGATTGAGACTACTTATACCAGAACTCTACCAAATCAGGCTCACCTGCCTCTATCAGAGCAGGTATAACCGCCACTGTTGTCTTGTCGCAGCCGTTATAGCCTGGGTTGTGGTGGCACGTGCGGGGCCGTCGCTATAGGGTACATACTTGTCAGATGTAGGACATCTTCCAGAGGTGGCGGGCACGACACCGTCTGACAAAAGACGTGGTCATAGTCTCCAGGCTTGCCAGACACAGTTGCCAGGCAGGAGATCTTCCTGCGATAGGCCGAAATGCTCTTCTGTGAGTTACCGAGCTACCCTTCAAGCGACGAGTTGCCTGTGGTGAGCTACACCAACGGCGCTAACCTGAGGTGTCTAGAGGCGGATCGAGGTGTTCCTCTTTGGGAATGGCATTGAGCCAACTGGGAGGAGCTTGGGCATTAGGAAAAATCAGGGGGCCCCGAGCTCGGAGGTAACTCGGAGCGCCTCAGCCTTGGGAAGAAGGTGCAAGCCAGACGACTCTCAGCGAGTAGCCTAACCTGCTGAGTTGCTAGTGAACTTTCCAGTTTTGCCCATCAATCTCCAAGGTCCAGGGCAATACTGAAAATCTGGTCCAGTTCAAAGATTCAACTAATCCTACACTGTATGTGCTTAGGGTCTCACCCTGGTAGCTGAGACAGGTCACCCCAACCGACTTGGTGGCACCACAGTGTCAGCCTTGTCAGGATAGGTCCCACTGGCTATGAACATTCTAAACTAACATGAGTCTCATTAAGTGTCCAGTTTATGGGTAATACACAGAAACATACCAAAGGAACATGAATCAAATATGCACTTTTATTCATTTACAATAAACTCATAAAGTACATCATTCTGATTGAAGCTAAGGGCATATAAAACTGTCTAACAGCTCCCACTTGCACTTAGG